TAAAAAACCTAAATAGTTTTATCGCTTGGTCATAATATTTATAACCCTATACTTGATCACCGTAGAGTACAATTGAACGTGTTGCCGTGTAGAAAATTTTTAATTTATTGATGATGATTATTTTAGTGTTTTGCTCACTTCGAGTTAATTGCACTTTTAATGCCAAATGTTTATTGTAATTAATATTCCGAGGTGTTTATATTCATTACAAATTTCTGCTTGCCTTTCCCCGAACTTCCACGTTAATGAATTACTTACTCTAGGATCATTTCCAAAAATCATTATCTCAGATTTATCTAGATTCGTGATAAGACTCCATTGTGAACAATATGTAAACAGATCATTTATCATAATTTGCAATACATCAGGTGAGTTCGCAAGTAAAGCCATATCCTTAGTAAATAAAAGCATTTTTATATGAGTTAAGTTGATAGGTACTCCACCCGCTAAAAAGTCATGCAGATTATTTAAGTATGGGGAGAACAAAATCGGGCTCAGCAGGCATCCCTGTTTAACACCTTGAGTGACTCTAAATGAAGAAGACATTACCGTCCTTCACGCGACTGCTGGTTTACGAGTTTAATTTCATTAGTGTGGTCAAAAACTTGTGAGACAAACCTAAAGTAGCTTATTTGAAAAGTAAGGCATTCCTAGGTATAGTGTCAAATGCACATCAAAAATCAACAAAAAATGCATATGCTTCCTTATTGTTACTTAAATTTAAGTGTATTATAGAGGTCAGATTGAAAATGTTATTAATAGTTGAGTAGGACCAGCTTGGTATTTATTTAAAATATTATTGAGTTCCACCCAGCTATTTATACGCGAAAGTAGTAGGTATCAGTAATTATTTTATAGATAGACTATATTGGAATCTTTTTTTTTAAACATGGTTGTTTGGACTGAAAGTGCTAGGCCTAGAACTACATAAATTATGTACGGACTATAAATTAAGTAAAAAAATTCAAATATTCCCTAAGAGGATGATGATAAGTACTACTTAGCAATACTCGAAACAGCGTTGTATGGTCAGCCAAAGTTCAATGAATTAACTAAAATTTTTGTTGTTGTCTTTTCATTTCTATTTGAAACGTTCTAAACGTTTTCGTTATAAGTTGCGTCACTTTCGTCAAAAAGAATTAATATTGGTTATATTTTCTTTACTATTTTTCTGTTATAGTTTCTGATTTTGACACCCCTTTTTAATTTTCGGTAACTCTGGAATATGTTATAATATAATAATATTTTTTAAAATAATTACTAAGAAGTTAAAACAATATAGAAACAACTTCATTGAACTAATAAGATCTTAAGAATAATAATAAAAATAAGTCGTTTTGTATATGACATGTTAACTCGAAGATATTGATCAATATGCTTAGTTTTGTGAATAAATAGATTTACAATTAATATTAATTGTTATATATATAAATTTATATATGTACATATATAACGAATAATTAAAATGAAGTAAAAGTTGCTTTATATAAAATGTAAATAAATTTATCGTAGCGTGGCTTTAGTTATAGATAAAAAATTTATAGAATATAGCATATGCATAGCATAGGTTAGAAATAATGTATATATTGCATAGATTATTATAAATAATATAATTCATTTTATTGAATCTCTCTATATTGTACTATAAGTATCAGTTTGAATTTTTAATTAAGATATACCATATATATATATATAAGTGTCATAAGCTTCTCAAGGAATTGACGTCATTAACTACATTAAACATGATTCACTCGGTTTTATTGAAATATAATTAAATTAAGTCAACAACAAACACTTAAATTAAATTTAATTTTATCTTAGTAGTGACTAACTGTGATGTAACAAATGAGACTTTAATTGCAAACTCACAACTATACTTTCGTATGTAATTAACTTTAATAATAAAAAAATGATCACAATTTTTTTTTTGGTTTAAGTTAGAAAAACATGTATTAACGATGACCTTTAATCTTTTAGTAATACTTCCATCAATTTTCTTGAAGTTGTTTGAGAAGTATGTGAAGAATTATTTACATAACTTGAAAATAAGAAGATTTATTATTTTTTGTTTATTTAATTGTGTGAATCTTGCTCGGGCCAGTAGATACGCGTAAGTCAGACATTAAAAATTGCGCAAATATCGAGAGGGATTTGCTCATTGCTCGTAAGTTGGTAGCAGGTGTTTAGATTTACGTTTTTGATATAAGATTATTGTATTTAAAACATTAACAATTATATACAAAAAATTTGCGACGAATTTTTACATCTTAATACTCTACATACATACTATGATAAGATTATATTAAGTTCACTGCAATATTTGTACCGCATTAATATTCTTTGATTAGAGCAATAGAGTATATTCTTGAACAGCTCCACAAAACAAAGCCGAGTCAGTTTTAAAGTATATTGAAGATTGAAGATTCAGATGTGGCTCGGTAAGTGATATAGTGGTAAAATTAGTAATATCTTTATACCCCTTTTTAATTTTCAGTAATTCTGGAATATCACACACAAAAAAAAAATTTTATCACTTCACTAAGTTATCGAGTAATCAATCACATCATAATTTTTTTTATATCTGATTAAATATAGTGAATCATAAAAAATGATTATTATTATATATGGTGAAGTCTATAAACTGCAACTTAGGTTATCTATTGTGCAAATCCAATTTGTTTCAACTAATCAGTGGTTATTTTAATGAAAAAGAGCCCCTTAGACGATTTGTATTGTTCTATAAGTTATAATGGGCAATAAGTCTTTCCCGCCGATTAATAAATCTGTTGCTGTTCTAACAAAAATACAGAGATTACAACAGTTATTCCACAATAATGGCAAATTTTTGTTGTTTCAAATGCTCATTTTCTTACAATAGTGCTGCCTTTTCAGGTACTCTATGTACAACACGGTAAAATCACAAAGAATAATGTTATTATCAAATGGCTTTGGAAAAGAAAAAGTATTTGGTAGGTCAGTCAGTTGTGAGAATGGATGAAGACGCTCCGGCGAAAAAGGTGTTTGAAGCAGTAGTTGGCGGAAGAAGGCGTAGAGGTAGATCGTGTCTTCGGTGGAGTTATATACTGAGACTGATATACGAGACTGGAGAAGGTGCGCACTCAGCAGAGGTGCCTGGGGAGACAAGCTGCGTCAGGCCGAAACTCGGTAACGGGTTGTCATGGCCACATAAGTAAGTAAGTAATATAGTTAATTAGTTATTATTCAACCCAAAATAGCTATTGAAACAATTGATAACAAAATTCTTAGAAAGAATATTTTAGTATACTTGCAGCCTCATTTACCATCGATAACATAAGTCATATAGCTTGGTTTGTTTTGAGTTTTTGAACTTAAAAACCTGATATTTCACGGACATGTGATATCACATTTTGGTAGCGTGTAGTTGGCGATCAAAATCGAACGATTTGCCACTACTATTCTTTTTTTATTGATTACTCAAGAAGCGTTGGCTATCAAGATCAGACGATTTATCAATACTATTTTTTTTATGGATTACCTAAGAAGGCGTATTTATGTAAATAGTTCTAAAACTTTTGATGTTTTTAGAAAGATTATCCGTTAAGTTAATATCGAAGAATTTAATAGAGAATGTCGAAAAATTCTATAGAAAAATATTTAAATTATTCAGCGCTTTACAACTAATGACAAGGTTTAAATTAAATATTAAATAGAAAAATTGAATAGAAACCTCAATAGCATATGCAAGTTTTATGTGACTTTTAGAATCATATATTATTATTATTATTAAAAAAGAAGGAATTGTGCACTGCGACCTAAAAGATCTATTGTGCCCCTTACTTGAGTTGGAGTGTTTCTCCAAGTGCCATTTCTTTAATAAAAGACAGTAAGGAGCCTACCTTTCCTAGTCTTGAATCTTTATGATCTATAAAATACCCTCCTAGGTATTTCTTTCGCTTGTGCATCAGTGTCGAGCACTCCCCAAGCATATGGTATGCAGTTTCTTTCTCTTCTCTATAGTATCTGCAGTCTGAGTTGGATTGAATTCCTAACTTTGATAGGTGATTATTCAATCTACAGTGACCACTCGATAATCCCGTAATAATTCTTAGGTTGTTTTTTGATTGCATAGCACGCAATCTTTGAAGTGTTTTTTGGTGGTAAATCCTTAACAGCATTTTAGGTTGTGAGAGTGCTGGTAACCTTTCCCAATAGAGTTCTCTTTCTTTTTCCTCTACACCATTCATAAGAATAGATAGAGTTCTTTTGCCTAGACCACAGAATGGTTCTGGGCCTATCATTGTTGAGGCTGTGCCTCTTCTTGCAGAAGAAGAGGCGCAGCAATGTCTGCCGTTTTATTGCCTTGGATACTAGGATGTCCCGGAATTCATATTAGGTGCACCTGTTTGTTCCAGCCAAGTATGTTCAGCTTGTCAATGCACTCTCATAGCAGTTTAGATAATACCTGGTAGAATATGAGTGTCATTATAGCTGCCTGGCTGTCAGTCAGTATTGCGATTTTACGTTTCAACCATATATGGTTATGATTAAATATATAAATGATATATATATACATTTATACATCTATTCATATATGTACATATGTATATATATATATACATATATACAAATATATAAATGTATACATACATGTACACATATTGATGATTAAATATATGAATTACACAATATCTTAATTTTCATCTTCAAATTAATATATTATTTTATAAACACTTAAATAAATTTCGAAGTGCAACTTCTTCGCTTTTAAGATTTCGAAATTATTCGTTGGCTTTAAAAACCCATGCCCCACTGAGTATGAATGCAGCTGTCAAAATCAAGTTTCAACCAAACAAAAAATTACGCAAAATGGAATAAAAAAATTTCCAGATACTTGCAGAAAATCGTATATAATTATAATTGTAAAAATCAATGTTTAAAGTTGGTTGTGTGATTTCGTTAAACCAACTCCATGGTGTGGAGTAAATAAAATATTTAATAAGAGTAATTCAGTAACTCACCTGTGGTGCAGCATATATCGCATGCAGAATGCACAAAATCACAAAAGAAATACGAGTTTGCATGTTGAGTGGATTTCGGATAGCCGAATTCGGTTGAGGAATTTCGTTGTGTGAATTTCGCTTAAAGTTGTCCTTTTCAAAAGAATTTTTATTTATTTGAATTTATTGCTGTGTGCTTAGTTGATTTATGAAATCAATAACAAGGCTTTTTATTTGGAAAATAAAAAATTTTTTAAACTGAAATATGCCGATTTGCGCGTATCTGTGCTGTTTGACCGAAATTCACTTCAGAACTTGCGCGTGTACAAATTTTAATTAAACAATAACTACTTTTGTATTCAGTGGACGTCGAAAATACTGCTTTTAATGGAAAATAAAAAATTGAAAAATATTTCTTAAATAGTCAAAATATATGAGCGAAAAAAAAACCATTAAAAATTATAGAAATTCCAATTTTGACAAATTTTTCTACTATTCTCCGTGTTGATTTATTTTATTTGCATTCTTTATTCTTAACAAAGGAATTTCACAAAATACGATTAAATTTCAAGTTGTATTTAATTTTTAGGATTTTTATTTAATAGCTTTTGTATCTTTAATTAAGTTTTATTTAACTTGAAAATGCTTGAGCGATTTTTCTTAGCTGCACTTTTTTTTCTTTGACTTACAGACGTTGTCCAGACCGTTCCGTTTGCTTGCTCGTTGAATACTGCCTCGAAAAGATTTGTAGAATATCTTGTCAAGTCGAGATGAACAGGGTTTCAAGTCTCTCTCTCTGGTGCTTAAAGCCATAATTAATTGTTAGCATGTGCTAATGCTTATAATTTTGATTTCTTTTTGTTTTTGTTTATTATTCATTTTTGATACGTTTTAATCTCAGCTTTGTGAGATACTAATGGGGAAATTAATTCAGCCCAGACGTATTTGTAAGATAACGAATATTCAATATGTATTCAAAGGTTGTTGTCATTCTGATTGTTTTGGTTGTAACTTGTTTTTTTTTCTTATTGTATGTAATCTGGGGCTGGTTCTGGTTCAGTTCACATTGTATTTACTTCATATAAAAATCTGCTTTATTGGTTTACGTAAACGGAATGAATTGTTAGTTCTAAATTTATTAAAAGAAAATGACTATATATGTAATAAGATTCATTGCAAATTTGTACGCAAAGTATATTCTTTACTTTGTTGTTGTATCAATGTATTGCGTTAATATGAGGTTGATTTATTAGCGTATTGAAATTTTTCTAACTTCTGGTTATTTTTGCCTAATAATGTTGATACTTGCAATTAGCAAGATACAGTATATACTCTTTCTTAAGTTAGTAATGCTTAGAATATGAGTTGCATATTTCAAATATTTAAATATTTGCGAGCTAGCCTATTAGCACTATATTGGTTATGGTGCTAAAGTTCGAAGAACATAAAACAGAACCAAGTTAAAAATTAATAATTCGGGTATGAACGAAATGTTAGTACCCTTCTTCGTCTGCATTTGCCAACCCGTTTACCGGCATTGGAGAGCAGTTTATTTTACGATATTTCTCTTAATATAATTAATGCGATCATATGTAAAATAGTTTACAAAATCAAAATTTTATAGTTTCTAGCCACATTTATAAGTTTGCCAACACTTTTTATATTGGTCTACAGTCGTATATTTTTAAGCCTTGAAATTGGTTGCCGAACGGTATTAGTTCTTTTTAAACTTTTCTTTGAAAAATCAGTTCTAGTAGCTAAAATATAGGATTTATTATGATATGTTATATCGTAAATGAGATGAACTCAATAGAGTGTCCCAAATAGAGTGTCCTAAATAGAATGTCCTCAATGGGGTGTCCTCAACAAAGTGCCTCAAATAGGATGAACTAAGAAGAATGAAAAAAGGATGTTCTAAATAAGATGGACTAAATACCATATCCCAAATATGATAGGATATGCTATTGAGATGAACTCAATAGAGTGTCCCAAATAGAGTGTCTTAAATAGAATGTCCTGAATGGGGTGTCCTCAACAGAGTGCCTCAAATAGGATGAACTAAAAAGAATGAAAAAAGGATGTCCTAAATAAGATGGACTAAATAGCATATCCCAAATATGATGTCTTAAAAAAGATGTTCTCAAAAGGGTGTCCCAAATAGGATGTCCTAATTAGAAAGGGGATCTGTTGAACAAGATGTCTTAAATAGGATGTTCTAAATATGATATTCTATCGTATTTAGGATATCTAAACAGGAAGATAGAATGATGATAGGATATCTATATATAGGTTGATCCAATTAGGATATCCTGAATAAGATGTCGTAAATAGAAAGTTCTGAACAGCATGTTCTTTATGCCTGTTAACAGCTGTTAACCGCAGTACAAAATTCATTATTTGTACGATGACCATAGATATAGTACTTTAGTACTTTAAGAATTTTATGTTAGCTCCAATCTACTTCATAAAGAACTCTTCAGTATTTTGAAGTAAATTTTAAAAAAAGAAATACAAAATGAAAATCATTTTCTTTAAACAATTTAAAAAATAAAAGAAATATATATTTCAATAAAGTAAGTATTAGTGTTGATGAAAAAGCTACACTTTCTTTAAATGGTAACAAAGAACCTATATATAAAAAATTTAGTGTGTTTTCGAGGGTTTTTATATATATTTCAATAAAATCTGTTATTTATGTATAGAAAACTGTCTATGTAGAAAACATGCGATTGTGAGGACTTGATTTTTCATACCATTGTGTACAAATATACAGCAACCTCTTAAGAAACAAATTGAAGTCATATTAAACACTTATCTCATCTGTTTCTATCTAAGAACTGGTATTATCATCCTATCTTTCTTATCATATCTTTTCTTCTTTGGATCATTCTAACTATTAACAGTGACATTTGGATGGTTTGATTTCAAACATATAAGAAACTTTGAATAAATGTTCACAGAAAAATATTTAACGCAATTTTAGATACAGACTTATATAGAAAATAATAGTGTTT